ATATTCACTCCAAACCCCCCTAAAAATAAACTCTAGGATCGCCCCTGCGCATCAATCACAGGTTATCTGGTTCAAGCCAGCCTTTGCAATCGTGACCTATTTCCGGAGGGCGTTCAGCTTGGATACAGATGGAGGGTGACGACGCACGTGGGGACCGTATTCCCTTCGGAGCACTTGACCAACTATTCGGTAGATGCATACTTTTTAGTCCAAAACGATCAAAATTTCACAAACTTTCAAGTATGTGTGGTGATGTCAACTCTCTGTTGAAAAATATGATACAAAAAATGTTTATCTAAAAATTAAATTATAAAAATGTCCTCACATTAGATTAAGGAATTCAAAACGAGCGAGAATCAACAAGAGTACCCGTGGATAACGCTACCGTTCCGATGCGTTTACAAAGATGGCGAAGTACAAAAGTTCGAGAGCGAAAGCGGTGACGTAACGGGATCATTGAACATAAAAAGAGCATTGGCTACCATATTTCAGTTGAAATTGGATTCTCTTCGGCGACCATCGTTTGCCGCACAAGAGGTAGGCACCCACACTCCACAGTCTTCAAATATCGTGTAAAATAAGGCCAAATCCTTGATAAATTGATATTTGATTTTTAAGATATCAAATTAAGTTATTGATCTATTTTTAAATTTTAAAGTAATGCCCTATACTTTATGTTCTCGTATAAAATAAATGTGTTGTAGTAAACATAGGTAATTTAAAATAAAAAAAATTACAGACTGGAGTTTATGGAAAATGCAACGTTCAGTACCTTGTAACTAAAGAAAATAACAATACAAATGTAAAAAAAATAATTAACTTTTCGGCTTGCAACAATAAGCTTGGACAACAGTGGAGCAATACACCACCGTTTACATGCCCATCGAGTTATCAAGTAATGTTACTTTAACGTTTATATGTTAAATGTTAGGTTTTAATAGAGATATTTTCTACATCAAAATTGACTAAAAAATATAATTTTTGTTATTTTAAAAATATTTAATTTTTAGGACGGAAGTATGAGTCATAGTGTTCGAAATTATAATCTAGACGAGATCAATGTGATTCGATATTTGAATATTATTGGTACAGTAGAATTCCAACCATTCCAAGCATTAGCCGAATCCCATCATATCTTTGTAAAGTAAGTCTAAAATATTAAACACACGAATTAGATTCACTATCACCAAATTTTTTAACAGCCAAACATTTGAGCTGGATCACATTTTTCCTATCGGCGAACCTATCACGTTGGTATCTAAATTGGACGACTCGATTGAGTATGATTTTGATCACTATGAAGATCCTACAATGGATTTCAAACCGTTCAATAAATCTCTACTTCTAACAGAAGTGATTATTCTTACACAATATTTTATTACTTAACAACTAGTGTCAATAAATTATTATTAATATTTATGTATTATATAGATTCTTGATACACTTAGTCAACTTACAGAAAGTTTAAGCTGGGAAATTGGTACAACTAACCTAGACAATCAGACTGAATTTAGAGCTTTAGAACTCATGTGGTGGTTAGACACGTCCGATTGGTTTACATTATACGATACCATAAAAATCGGAACCAGTTATTCACAAGAAACCATACAGTTCGTACGATTTTAACTTATAAGTTATTATACATATGTTTCAACATTTTAATTACTGTTTTTCTAGACACTTCTTTTGGGACTTAGTACCACAAGTAGGATCAGCTTCTTCGGTTGAATTTATTCGTGAACTAATTAAAACACAAAAAATAACAAACTTTTTGGCAATTGGATTATTAATTACGTTTCCGTACCACGTTAGGTATCCAAACGAAAAACTCTTACAAGAATCCGAAATATTGTTGTATCTCGATAAACAAGTAGAAAATGAAGTGAAAAAAGTAGCAATTTTGAGTTTTGCTTCGTTGATACATAAAACATGTGGTAAAGGAATGTGCTCAGACGATACACAGAATAAGTACATCAAATTATTTTTAGACAAATTCATAGGTCAGTAACATGATTGTTTTTTATAATATAATTACAAAATACAATGGCTTTTAACAACAATAACAAAAATAAATAATATTTTTTTCGCTTGCTACTATTCGTATTATTTTATACGAACTTTTTTTTTTTTTGTATTTATTTTATTGGTTTAATAAATAACGAAAACCACCAGCGTATTCGCATTTTGAAATAAATACGATTAGATTTCTAAGTTATATTTAGGTTGAATTAACAATCTATTGCTTTAATCAATTTTGCTTGTTAGATATTCAATTCATATTTTATCAATATCTCAAACATAATATATGAATCTATTCATATAGTTATAATGTTTTAATATACTAATCAGGCCCGACTGGGACACTGTGTTACTGTTCTACAGCACAATAGATCGCACGCTTCAATTTTGTAATAAAATACTTGAGTTTTTTTATACAATTAATGAGCAAGAAAAAAAAGGCTTTTTTTATATTGTATCTATAGGCCGCCTGCTTACTGAGAATAGTAGGCCAGTATCTTCCCTGCAGTCCGAGCCTGATACCGACCAATTATAATTAGTGATGGGCATAATCGAATGATTTCGATAATCGAATGATTAGTAATCGAATGATTAGTAATCGAGACATTTTCATAATCGAGAGAATCTCTCGAAAAATCACTCAAAATTAAAATCGTTTTTTCATATGATAAGAATCGACTATTATTACTTATCGAGATAATCGAAATATCACTCGAAATATGAATAAACTTATAGTAAATAATTATTAGTTAAATGTTGCTTTTTTTTATTTGCTGGTATAATATTAATTAAAAATTAGACTATAACCTACCTTTTAAATTTGTCGTGTTTCCGTAATATTTATAATCCTTTTTACATATTTGACACGTAACCGTTTTATTACTAGAATGTTTTTTAAAATGATCCCATACAACGGAACGTTGCTTACAGCCCGGTCTCATATTTAAATAAATTAAGAAAATACTTCTGAAATTTGATACTTTTGAAACTGTCGAAAAAAATACGATTGTCAACTGTTAAGGTTAACTGCTAAAGTGCTGTTTATGGCTTTGGCTTGCAAGATTGTTAAACAATTATATTTGGAAAAAAAAAAACAATCAAAAAATCGTCAACATGTCCCTCCTAAAATTAAACAGTAAAATGGTGATTTGCGATAGCAGAGTTTATTTATAACGCGCCTATGAATAAAATTATTTTTGATAAAAATAATAAATGTGTATATTGTTTCATTTATAAACATACATCGCATTGTCTGTGTTTAGTTATACAACTGAGTTAGACATTTAGAATGTAGAGACGACTAAAAACATAACTGTAACAAATTAAAAAATAAAAACATCAGATCAGGTAGCGATAGCCGGCTTGACCATCATAATTAAAATTTCACACCTTATTAATGTTTTATAAGTTCACAACCAGCGAGAGAATCAGAACTTAGTAGTTTAGCCTGTTCAGGATTAAAGTAGATGGACAATAAATACATATAATCATAAATATTAAATATGTACTACATTGAAAATTGTAATGTCATATGTAAACCATTTTTCAGATTTAAAATATACCTACTAAATAATCATTTACCAGATAATAATTCAAAACATTTCAAAATTCGATTACGTTACTCATATCAGAAATTACTCGATTACTCGATTATTTTACTCATAATCAAAATTATTCGATTACTCGATTATTTTACTCATAATCGAAATATCTCGATTATGAAAAACAATCGAGATATCTCGATTATATATCTCGATTATGCCCATCACTAATTATAATGTTAGTTTTACAAATTATTGTTTATCAATTGCACAAATTGCAATCAGCAATATAACTACAGAAAATCGCTAAAATATACCTAATTATTTTCATAATATTATTTACGTAATTACATTTCGTTTTAATGACCAGCCGTCGAAAAACCAGATAAGAAGTAAACAATGAATAATTGTGCATTGATGTGGGTAGCGGGTGACGGTTGAGGAGTGTACACACACTAATAATCATTTACTACACACACAAAGACGAGCAGTGACTGCAAGAAACAATATAATTGCCTAAACACAACTCCTTAAAAATGACACGTTTGCAGGGGCCTTAATGGCTTATTAACTATTCTACTAGTTTCCAATAAGTGTTTCGTATAAGTTTCCTAAAATAAGTATTGCATTTATAAATTACTACATTTACATATTTTTTATTTATTTTTAAAGTTTTAATAATTAAATTACCAGAATTCGGTTTTGGCAGTTTTGTCATAAAAAAATCATTTAGTTTTCATTTTTTTATTTGGATTTTTATTCATATTCGTATGCAGGTATGATAATAATGTATATAAGTATATAACTGCTAATTATAAAAATAATATATATAAGTATATAACTGCTAATTAAATATATAAAAGTATATAACTGCTAATTAAATATATAAAAGTATATAACTGATAATTAAATATATAAAAGTATATAACTGATAATTATAATATAATATATTAAAATACAAAATAAATAAAAACTGAACAATGTATAATAACAATTTTGAAATTAAACTTCAAACAAAACGATTATAATTGTCAATTGATAACAATTAACAATTATAATAATATAAAATTGATAATCAATTAAATTTTGGCATGAATAACCTTATCTGCAGAGGCAGATAATATATAATATATAATGATAGTACCACAAATTTACAAATAAAAATTTCTAATTTTTATATTATAAAAGCTTATTTTAATTTTTTATAAATAAAATTGTTTCTTAAATCTTAAAGTACGGCTGCAGATGGTACCATGCAGCTTGCATATAATAAAGTCACAGGTGCACATTTTTATTTTTCGTAGTGCACAAAGTGTGTCGTAGTGCACACAAAAATAGCCACCGTAGTATATTAATTTAACTGTTTGTATTGTTTGTAATCATCAAACACATATTGGTATATGTCTCGAACCATTTGATCGGACTGTTGCGAGATGAAATGGGCAAGAGCTTCAACAGTATCTGTCTGATTATGTCGGGATGATGTGGGCGACGACGTCTGCACATAACAGTCCTGTAATAATTCTAACACCCTCTGTAGAAATCCGGCGTCCAATTCAATCATGCCGATCAATTTACCAAAATCTTGCATGAGTTCCACGGTGTTGAATTTATCGATACTCGGAGTGCCACCGACAGTGATACTATTGCAGTGTGTTTTCAATTTAATGCCCGTTTCGTTTGCTTTGTCGTACAGATATGATTTACAATCTATGTAGTCTTGTTTGGCATTATTCGAAAGAAACCATAATTGCACGCTATCGCCGTGCTCTAAGCGCGTACGACTGTTGATGGCGTTCAGTGCGCCTTTAAGCTTACGTCGAAAACCATAATATTGGCTACCATTACCGGAGCATGTGACTATTAAAATTTCCATTCGGTCTTTACCAAACGTGGATTTATATACATCCCGTATTAAATTATGTTTTTCGTCTACAACGTTCCGTTTCAACTTTGTTATTCGCAAATGCTCATTGGACAACTCCAACTGTGCCAGGTTTTCAGTCAGTTCATCGACACGTTTTTTATGTTCGGTGCTTCGTAAAAAATATTCGTTTTTTTCTTTTTCGACATCATTTAAACGTTTTAACAATACCGCGGTTTCGGATTGTTTTTGATCCAAAACCTTTTTTAATTCATGCTGGATCTCCTCGAGTTGTGTCAAGTGATTCCGTTCCGCGTTTTCTAAACGTTTTTGCCATGATTTGCGTTCAATTTCCATTTCAGTTTCGGTGTAAACGTTAACCAACACGTTATTAACATGGGTGTTATTAAATTCAACCGACGAACAGGTGTTACTGTTATCGACCCATGTAAACGTAGATTCACGTTCATTAGGTACCGGCAATTCATTTGATAATGGTGTCGTCGGCGCTAAATATGGCGATTCTGTAGTAACATTTGTCGATAATGGTTCCTTCTGGGCCGGTGACTTTATAACGTTTACCGATAATACATCTGTGGTGTCAGATCTTTTCACCGTGGTTGCGGATACATTATTGCTAATTATGTCGGTAATGTCACCGACATCCGACAATAAATATGCAAACACGATTTTCGACGCTATGATGTAAAAATCGGAATCGACCCATGAAGTCAGTGTCAAAAACAACAATGGGTGATAAAATGTACCGTACTCTGGAGACCTTTGGTTAACATTATGCTGATCATACACCGGATTTAAATTCAAAATTAATTTCAAGTGTTTGATTAGTTGAATAAATTTGGCTGATTTGGAAAACATTTTTAAAGACTTTTGCGGATTGCTATATTTGTAGCAAAAACTCGAAGCGTTGATATATTTGTTCTTGTCTAATAATTGTAGTTCGAATCCAGCGTACATTATCATTCGATACCCTTGCAGGAGTGGGTAAGGCGTGTCCACACAGTTGTCATTGTCTCTTGCCGGCAGGTCCACCGGTTTCAACGAAAATGTCCGATCGAACAGCGCACGGCGTTCGGCGGTTTGATTGAAAAAACTGTTGACGGCTATGGCGACCTTGACGTAGAAGTCTTCGCCGCACCATGACGCCAAAGCCAAAAATAATATCGGATGATAATACATACCGCTGACGGCCGATTGGTCGGAGAATCCTAAATCACGAGCTTTGTACTGCACTTTATCACAGAATTCAATTTTCTGCAATAGCATCGGTTCTAAATGCTTGTAAATTCTACTTTCTTGAAAATGAAATATTCTTTTATTTTTCATATCACATAACGAGGTCGCGTTAAAAAAACCGTCAGAGTTATTAACTAACAAATCGAAATTGTCATCAAAAATTACACGCCTGAAATGTGAAATAACTGTAGTCTTCGCTGAGTTCTTAGTGTACACACTCTTTTCATCTAACACAATCATATTTAAAAATTTACACAATCACGCAGAACTAGTAATGACACTACCGTGGTACGTGAGCGACTGATCAATAGTCAACTCATGTCATGTGATATTGTGATGGGTAATTCGTGAGTGAATCAATAACTCAGTGTTACCGCACTGATTCACTACAACTCATGAATTTGTGTTACTACTTATCAATTCATGAATTATGGGTGATAATACGAATTTAGATTTACTGACTCAATACTAATTCATCTAACTCTGGTCATATTAAGTAATAAGTAAACGTAAAGGTCTATGATGATTGTACATAATAATATTATTCTAATAGGTAACCGTAACCATATACGTAACGTAAGGTATGTTAGTAACGCGTATGATTCACAGACTCGCATTGGTAGCGGTGATATTGTGACGTAAAGACGTCGTATTCATCACATTATGTTATCAAATGTATTATAGTTTTATAAAAACAACAAATTTATTATCAAGACAACAAATTAATAAAATACAAAATAAATATTTGATTCATTATCAATATTAGTTTATTAGAATAATATCACGATTCGGTGAACAGTGAACACGCCAACTCAGCATTATAATACCTATTACCTATATTATTAATTATTTTAACATATTATGTATATTATGTTACAATTTTGAAACACTAACTTTGAGCACGGCAATAAACAACAAGAATACAAGACGATTACCAATTAAGATGTCACAATTTAAGTCAATGTTATTGTATGTTAATGACAATTTTATACCATCAAATCATATTAGTTTCCATACTGCAACAAGACTTGACATGTTATAACGTATCACTATGCAATTAGGAGTGTATTATATACTATATGCGATATTTAATTTTTTTTTTTAAGATCAGCATTTTAGTATATATTAGTAGTTTGGTACAATGCTTATTCTAATTTATAAAATTATTATTTTATAATTTTTATATTTAAAATAAAAAAGCTATTTATGCTACCTTGTAGTGTTCCATTTCGTTGTATTTGTCCACAAAATATAATTTATGAAAAAACAAACGAATACACTAATTATATTTAACATGAATTTGTATTTCAAATTAAGAACTCATGGGGCATATTGTTTTTTTTTGAAAAATAAATAAATAAAAAAATATAATAAATAAATATATATATATATTTAATAAATCATTCATATGTTCACAATAATATAACATTTTAAATTAAATTTGTATATAAAATAAAAGTTCAAATTAATTCTTCATTTTATAATATTTTAATATACATACTAAATAATAAGCACACAAGTATATGACATATTATTGTGTTGCGATAGTCGCAGCACGTAAGATCACACATATAGACAAGTATTACATAAGTATCGAATACGTGTTACAGTGTATTAATAGCTGTTAATGATTATTACAAGGAAAAGCAGATTTCTAAAATTAATAAATGCTTAATGAATACTTAAACGAGACCTTGTGACTATAGGATCCGGCAGTTGTTCAATATATAAGGGCGCTCTAACCTATGCACATTACTTTTGCACGACGACTAGTTGACAGTGTCCATGCTAGAAGTATTTGTCTTAAGTTGTAAACATTACTCTGAGTGTTTAAAAGTGTTAAATACTAATCAAATATTAATAAACATACAATAATAGTTAATCAATCAACGTGTTAACTTATTTTGAATCGACCTTCGTCAACCGTGCTCCACAACTGGATCACAACAATTGTATTGTATTAAACAACAAAAACAATTTAGTAAATTAAAATTAATTAATAAAATAAGGTCTTCATACATTTTTAAAAATCAATAGTTCATATATTTAGTGATAGATGATCTAATACTCTGAAGTAACTCTTAAACGAATTGTCTTACGAGAGTTGTTTAATTTAATGAACTGATAACTAGGAGTTAATGGGAGTCAATGGAAATTGGGAGTTGATTCACTGAGTTGACTCCCCGAGTCAACTCATTTGCGTGGATTGAGTCAAGTGAACTGACTCATGTAAATGAGTTGAAAATCCCATCTCTGTCTGTCAAGTGACGAGTGACGACTCCGTGACAATATAATTAACTAATCTAATATAGGGTTACAAAAAAAAAAAAAAAAAAAAAACGGACAAATAATTTTTGGTTTAAATACTCTAAAAAAACATACACATTTTTTTAAAATATTTTTAATACAGTAAAAATTTTAATTCTGAATAAAAATAAACTCACCATTTGTATAACGTTTTAATTGTAAATAACGTATAACAACATTTTTTTTTCAAATGCAAGCCCTGGTCAGTAGCAATAATACAATATTAATTCATACAACGCTGCCTCTCGGCAGCTATCATAAATACAATTTTAGTGTTCGGCATTTGGCGACCCGTGGAGGGAAAATAATTGTACTGCAAAACATATTTATTTAATAATTTTGGTTTTCCGCACATAATATATATTTTATCTATTTTATGATGTATTTATAGATAAAGCGCGGATTTTTATGCACTTAAAAGTATCGAAATATGGCATATAATATGCAGTAAAAATCATGAAAATATGCAGTCAAAATTATGAAAATATGCAGTCAAAATTATGAAAATATGCAAGAATTTTTTATTTATTTAAAATTTACAATAAAACTTATTATAATTAATTACTTAAATACTTAATAATAAACAATTTAGGGAATTTTCTAAACTTAATTTATTTTTAAAATTTTATTTATTATTAAAATTAATAATCATATGCATTTCAAATTTTTCTTCTATGAAGTTGTATAGTTTATCGATTAACATATTTTTAAAGACTGAGAACGAACGTTTGACGTCAACCGAAGTTATTGGGGCATATTTGAAGCAACTTAGTATTTTCGGATTTCGATAAAGATCTTCAAGATGAACGTTTTCGCCTAATAACACTGAATTAATTTTTCGTAGAATTTTCAGACCTTCATTTTTATTGGAAAGCTCGTTCAATTTTGTTGTAAGTGTTACACCTTTCAATCCAGGAATAGAATGCATTTTTTCTTTCATTTCGTCAATTATTGAAAAGCTTAGATGTAAAGTCATATTTCGAGTTTCCAGACTTTTTTATGACTATTTTTTTCACTAAAAATGCCAAATGAATAGATATAAATTTTAAATCATTCTACTTGACAAAATATTATCCTATACATTTTTTTAAATTTTTTTAAATTTTCGCTTCAATATGCAATAAATTTTGAATTTTGCCAAAATATGCAAAAATATACAATAACCTTCAAATATGCAGAAATATGCAAAAAAAAATTTCACCATTAGCTTCAAATTATGATAATTCGTGGAGATAACTGACAAAAATCCAAAAATATTAAAAGGAAAAAAATATGCAATTGCATAGAAATCCGCGCTCTATAATTATAGATAACGATAGTGTTAACCGTTTATCGCTGTTTACAATAATTTTAATAACATATTTTACACATTCCTAGACCGGTTTTTTGAAGTGACAGAAAAAAGCGATAAGCCTATAAATTACTTTTTAATGAATAAACCGATATTTTCCGTGTATAGTGCTATCGCAACTAAATTGTCTCCAACGCGGCCGCCCACACGACGTCTTAAATCATTAATCTACTATTATTATTAGTGGCGGCTCGTGGGTGCTGATAGTGGGGGTACGACTTTAAAATATAAAATACCACTAATCATAGGTTTAACAAATTGTCAAATTAAATATAATAAAATGAAACACAATACACATATTATTATTTTATTATTATTTTAAAGCTTACTATTTTATTCATATAATTATCATAGTATATTATTATTATATTATTATTATAACATTATATGATTTAGTACATAATTTTAAAATAATTATTTTATGGAGTTATTTAGCGCTGTTAATTTTAAAAATAAATTACCCAATATATATATAGTAATATATTACTGTATGGACGACGCTATCGGTCGTCCAAACCCGTATAATAACATCGTACAATAAACGTAACCGCACGCACACGATTGCGCGCTTCGCTTGTAACATACGTATTCGGAATATTGGCAATATTGCTTGGACGACTCTGCCGGTCGTCCAATACCAGTACAAAAACGCAACAAATGTACCCACCCGCATCATTCAGCGCCTCGCTTATACATACGAACCATACGCCGACGGACGACGACGCTGCAGGTCGTCCAAATACGATGCGTATCATATTATGCGATACGCTTCTATTATCAGAAAACAAAATAATGTAATGTTCGCACACGACAAATGTATTATACCTTTATAAGTTATAACTATAATAATAAATAATAAATATTTTTAAAAATCAGAATTAAGATTATACAATAAATTTTCTTATTTTTTAATTTTAGTATAGGAGGTGCGATCGTCCCGTCGTCCAAGCCACGAGCCGCCACTGATTATTATGTAAACATTGTCTTATATTTTATTATTTTTATTATCTGTTAATGTTTCACAATCTTATCCTTTCTGTATATTTTAAACCATAGTTTTAACTATTTATACCATAATTGTGACCTAATTTATAAATGTTAAAAATAATTAATTCTTTACACCTAAGTTTAGATGATGTCGACTGTCAGGAAAACTTTATATTAATAAAAAAAAAAAAAAAACTAAATTGTCAATTATTATGTATTTATTTCGTGTTATAAGCAACTGAAAGTAATAATTTATTTTATCAAAGTATATCACTCCAAAAATAAATCATGAAGGCAGTTTCTAAACGATTTAATCGTAGAAGTAGTCCTTTTGCTTCACAGCGAGCTTGTGATTTTTCAGCTTCATTATTAGTTAGTTCTTCTAATGATATTTTTATTGCAATTAAATTTGTCTTTAAGCTTTGGCATGCGTCATCACGGGAAAACCATCGTGTAGTTGATAAATCTTTTAGAGTTGATTTTGCATGTTTACTTATTATCAACCATCGAGAAGTAGATGACGAAAAAAAAAACATACGATTTTTGAATAGATTCAAAAAAATTGTTGGCTTCTTGACAACAACTAGCTGCGCATGATCCCACAAGGGTGAGGGAATGAGCAGAACAAGGAATGAAGTCGGCAAGAGGTGCTTCTTTCTTAATTC